CCCCAAAACCCCAAAACCCCAAAACCCCAAAAGGCTTATATATCTAATTATTCGTTTGTATTTGAATTTAATTTGATTTTTAAAGTGAAAATATGAAGAAGTCTTCATCTCAAACAAGAATCTTAAATAACCAAAATGATTCAGACTACTTTTAGTTCGAGAACTAGGACAGATTTAATTCAAAGACTCGTTAAAATCGACATAACCCTAAACCCAACCGAGAACTATCCAGAAACTCTATAAATCAGCAATAGTCATTTGAATCTCTTCAACTTAGCACTTAATAAGTAGCAACATCAAGATAGGGGTAAAGTAATTCAAGGAATTCACCTCCCAAACTAAAAAAGTCAAGTTCTGTTTAATCCAAACCAAAGAGATAAGATTTCAGTGAAAGGTAGCTTCAAGACATGTTTGAGTAAAATTAGTTCTCAAATATTATTAAGAGTGGATCCAACAACTTGAAATCAAAAGGTATAAACACACTAAATTGCTTGCAGCAAAGTACAAACAATAATAGAATAATATCTCACTAAAATATTCCCTCTAGTGTTTCAAACAACCTTCAATATCAATCAGTGAGAGAAATCTTATTCCAACATAGCTAGAAAAGATCAAAGGAGAGATAAGTTGTTAACTAGGACTCGAAATTGAAGTAAAAGTACTTTAAAATGTTCAAACAATATGTGAAACTCAAATTAAAGGTCAGAATCTTCTTAAGCGATGAAATAGAGAACCTTAATCGTGAATTTGACAAACTACTAGTTTAAAACAAATACTTATTGAATGAAAATCAGAAGTATAAAAAGTACTGTGAAACTAGCTTACTAGAGACTCATGTCAATACAAAAAGGACTTTTTAACTTGGATAAACATTGATGAAAATCTATGAAAATAATAAGAAAACTAATCAATCAGATTTCTTGAAAGAATTCAAAATTATTAAAAAGAGAGAATAAGCTATCCTAAGCTTGATTAAGCTAAAGACAAATACTTCTAAATTAAAGGCCTTTCTGAAATGGAGAGGACTTCTAAATGAGCTTAAGAGGCCTAGATCAAATTTAACTACTATATCACAAATTACAATGAAACCCCCAAAACATTAAAATAACTAAACTCCGAATGATTTAAGCACATGCCCAAACTCTATGATAAAGACTTAACAGTCATCTGGATTCATCAGTAAATCACAGTCTTAGAAACGATTTGACAATGGTTCTAATGAGAACACATAATTTGTCCAGGACATGTCAGCTTTGCACATGTTCCCTTAGAGACTATCATTGAATTCAAGATAGGACTCACAAAAAAGAAGATCTGTGTCTTCAAAGAGGGATAAATCCTAAAATTCTGATAAAAGCTGTTGTGTTATCACAACTAAGCAATAAAACAGATGCCATAGTCGATAGTCTATGATGAGCGATGATAAAAATCCTGGCACCAGGGACACCTCTCAGAATTAAAATCAGAAAGATCAACCTAAGCGCTTTTTTGATTAAAAAATGCTTTAAAAGCTTCAAAGAATACAGTAACTAGATAAAGAAACATCAAAAGATAGGAAATCAGTCCCATAGTAAACAACTGAATAGTTGTTTAAACCTGCGAAAACACTAAATATTCTTGAGAAGCATAAGTATTAGTAGAGTAGTCACAAAGAAATGAGACAGTCAATCAAGTTTGAAAGATCTATTAGCAATTTAAAGGGTGCATCCAGTAACAATGTCTCAAGTTCATAACTAAGTATCTAGGGTATTTTACAAAAGCTTGGTAATTAACCCTAGAGCAATATTTCGTCAAGCAGGCATGGTGAGACTCACTAAAGCAATAATAAGACTTTTGAACCCACAGAAATGGATTTATCCTCAACCAATTTGATAATTAGTAGTCAAATGAATCATTTGCAGAACTTTAGCATATCTGAGTATAATATGGAGAGCATGATATGCTAAATGAAAAATGTAATAAATAATTAAAAGGCAGAATTTTAAAAGCCTAAAGCAAAAGACTTGAAAGAGCGGTTAAAGGAATCTATATTCACTCCATAATATAATCACTGCAATAGAGTACTCTCAGCCAAATAAGTTGGAGCTAATAAAGTTGAAGACTATGAACTTAAGAGAGCAATCATTGACAAAGAAAACATCAATACTAATAATATTGGGGTAAAACCCTAGAATTATTTGCAAAACAATAATAGGGGTTTGCAGATGTACGACTATGACTTTATGACTAGCGACGAGTCTTCTAGGACTTCCAATAATAGCAATAAAGTTCCAATTAGGAGTTTAAAGAGGTAGGAATCGTTTTAATCAATTACATCCTCTGAGTCTTCTTATTAAATTATAAATTCAAACAGGTTAATAAAAAAATGATAGATAAATGAAGTTTAATTTGATTAACACATAAATTCACACGCTTTTTAAGTATATTTTATGCATAATGGGGTTTTGGGGTTTTGGGGTTTTGGGG